AGGGTCGGAGAGAGACTACCCCTTGGCGGCCCATGCCCAATGGGAGGGGTGGGGGGCTGCAGCATGCTGCAGCGCTGGAGCGGGCGCCGCCGCCGCGCGGCCCTCGGCCCTTCTCGATACAACCAATTACTTCCTGATCCGACTGAGAGCGGCGGTGGGCCGGGGGCCGGTCTCCACTCTGTGGCACTTCTTCGCTCCTCTTTGACGAGGGCGTGCCCCACGCCCGCGTCACCCCGCGCGCTCGTCCGGCTCCGAAGGCCGAAGGGTCACCTGCTGGGAGGTGAGGCGAGGCGAGATGCCGCCGACCGGGGCTGTGATTGCCGGCGAGGCGACCCCCGGCCCCGGCAGGTGAGGCGTGGGATCGATCTGTTGGTTGCGGCCCCGCCGCCCCGCCCCCTGTCGCCGTATTTAAGTAGTTGGAGTTATGACTTCCCGCCCACCCCGTTTGATACGCGCCTCCTGTGTATGGTCTTGTGTCGCCGCCACGACTTCGTATCTATTTTTATCTCGGCCGGTACCCGCCCCGCCCCGCTGCCCCCGCGCCGTACCGTGCGTCATCCTGTTTTCGGAACAACTGCTGTTGTGCGCGGGGCGATGTGGAAAACACGATTCCAGGCTGAGTGAAGTCACTGAGAAAGAAAACCCTTTAACAAGTGCGGGCGGATAAGAAGGGGTAAGACTACAGATTGTTGTTGAAACACACGAGGTAAAAAGCGGCTGCTTTATGGGAATTACCCAGACTGCGTCAAACCTAAAAGCGAAATGCGCTTGGTTTTCAAGCAGACTGGCACACCCGCAACACGGTGACGCGATCTTAACTTGAAACCAAGCAGAGAACAAATAAGATGACTCAAACCGTTGTCAATAGTAACACCTCAGTGTTGCGGGTTAGGATGGTTAGAAGAGCAAGAATCGCATCTTTTCTGGTTGGTGGTTATTCTGGTAATCTCCGAGCAGCCGCCTTTACCGCGCATTACCAGACGGCCGACGGGGCAGTTTCCATCCGCATCCATCGACATCCTCCCTCCCTGCTGGATTCTGCAAATCTCTAAATAGTAGCGTCCGCAGCGACATGCAAATGGAAGTCGCAAGCCACCTCCCATAACGAGGCCAGGCTGCCAGTCATCGCCTTTTTTTTTTGCCCACCACCCGTAAGAGTGGGTAGCCGAGGTCCGGCGATAAGCCCCGTACCCCCGTCCCGTCCCCCGCACTATCGAAGCCGCCCGCGCTCGAGGAAAAAGGAGATTCTCTCTCAACGCTGCGAAGAACGAGTCAGAGCAGACTTTCGGTGCCATATTGCCAAAGCTGTGCAGGATCCTTGGGGATCAGCAGGCGCGCGGCTGGGGGGCGTGGGGCGGCCTGTGAGCTATACGGTATCGAGGTTTGTTCAGTACGTACATGTCACCGTCTAATCCCCCTGCAGTACAGCAGTTTGTCGCACGCGGAAGCGACGAGGTGCGCGTTCAAGGCCGCATGAGTGTGTGTGTGTCATTTCCTTCCTGCCGCCTGCCTGTGGCCGCGCAACCAGCTCACCAGTTTCCTATGTGGCTATGGTATCACCGCTTTGCGCGCGGACAGAGGGGATTTTGTTGTTATCGTCCGTTTTGGCGCCACCGTCTCTCGCTCGCTCTCTTACTCTCTCGCTCGCGCTCTCTCACTCTCTCTCTCTCACTCTCTCTCTCGCTCTCTCACTCTCTCTCTCGCTCTCTCACTCTCTCGCTTGCTCTCTCTCGCCCCTTTGCGCTGGCCGCCGGACAAATTGACACTCGTGTATAATGGAAGGTGTGCGCTGTGCGGCGCTTACAGGCGACTCCCGCCCGGCGCGCCCCGGCCGGCCCGGCCCCCGGCCTGTCCGCTGCGCGCCCCCTGTGCTGCGAAGGGGACGCTCGTTTCGTGTTTACGGTTCCACTTCCGCGAATTGCGCGCTGCGTGTTGCTTTGAGTGAGTTTTTCCCTGCGAATGGCGCATCTCTCTCTCTCTCTCTCTCTCCCTACCTCCCTTACCCCGTCCCTGTCCCTCTCCCCCTCCTTCCCTCTTCCTCTCTTCCTCTCTTCCCTGAGTGCTTAGCTGGTGCTCAGCAAAGCCCAGGCCAGTGTGTTACATCTTTTTAATCGTATAGAGAGGACAGATACGACGAGGTATCTTCCCCCGGAGGTGACCCACCCCGCAAGGAACGCTTACCCAGGGGCGACGACACTGCCAGGGACCACGTAGTAGTAAGGTGCCCGTCGTGTCCTCGAGGACGTTCGTTCGTGCGGAGCCTTGAGCCTTTGCTTACGAAATTATTTCCCTCGCTTCTCCTCGGGGGAGGAACGTTGTTCATTGTAGGGGCACCTTCACTTTACCACCGCCATTACATACGGCGTCGTGTTTTCATCCACAAAACTTTGTTCTGCCGAACAAAGCTTGGGTCGATGAATGGATTGTTTGAGGTTTTGTCAGTGTGTGTGTGTGTGTGTGCGAGCGCGCGCGCCGAGTGGAGTGGGAGTGGGGCTCACCGGAGCGGCGCCCGGCCCGCCCCCTTCAACTACCACCATACATACAAATCGGACAAGTTGGGTCCTCGCGGGAGCGCTGGCGGCGCCGCCGGGCGCCGCACGGACACGGACACGCGCGCCGACGGGCCGAGCATGTTACAGATGGGGGGCTGGCTCTTATGGTAGCGCCGCAGTGCGGTCGCGGCTTGAGAAGGAGAGGAGGAGGAGGAGGGGCACATCTCGGAGGCAGGCGGTGGCGGCGCCCCGGGCGGATGGCTTCATTGGCAGCCGCAGCACCGCGGCCGTCCCGTCCCGTCAATGGCTGGGCGCCACGCCGCGGGCCCGGTGGGGCCCGGGGGACCTGAGCGGTGGCTTGACCGCGCCGATCCACTCGCGGCGCCTCTCTCGCAGACCTAAGCGTATTTGAGCGCGTCGGGCTAAAGCGGCTCGGCGGGGCGGGGCGGGGCGCGGCGCGGCGCGGGCTGAAGCTGGTCCAAGTGACTGTAAATGCCAACAGCCCGACCGCTCGCCTCGCTTGCCCCCCCCCCTTCTCCTCTCTCCTTCACCCCTTTCCTTTCTCTCTCTGTCGCACCCGTGTCGCGGGCCAGCGGGGGGGCCGGGGCCGGGACGGCTCTCTCACAGCGTCACCGCCGCGGGAGGGGGTTGCGCCCGCGGCCGCCAGGGCGCGCCACCGCCTGGCTGCTCTCCCCGCGCCGCGCTCGGCTCGGCTCGGCCTGGCCCGGCTAGCTCCGTGCGCTCGGCGTATTCCAGGCACGATCACGCCCCTAAAATAGATTTAAAACAGTTTAATTTACAGCGTTTGTTTTGAAAAACCGTCGGTATGTTGTGTCGACCCGCGCGGGGCCAGCGGTGGAGTATCCGAGACCGAGCGCTCCTTGTTTCTAGGCACTCGAGTCTCGACAGTGCGCTGGTTTCAGGACGGCGATAAGTCGTTTTCCTCCTGCCCGCCCACACTGATCGGTAACTCGAGCCTTATCACGGCTGGTGATAAGCTGCAGAGCGCGACGCCCTATCACTCGCTAGCCCCCGCCCGTATCTCGCTTTTATTTTTTCCTCTTTGCCTCTCCCGCTCTATCCTATCGCTCTGTGGAGCGGCGAGGATAGCTCTGCCCGGCTCTGCCCTGCGCCGCCCTGGGGACGTGTGACTGCGATCCCAAAGGTCAATGTTGCGTAGTCTTTCACGGTTTTTATGGCTGCTCACATGATGTGCCAAGACGGTCAAATTCCCTCGGTGATTATTTGACGTCGTTGACCGGGTGCAGAGCCACGATGCAAGGGGTTTGATGCGGGTTTGTCTACTCTCTTCGCCCAAAGCCCAAAAGGTTCTGGAAACACTGCAGCGTCATCCGTCTAGAGATACCCGGGTACAACCACACCACGTTCGATTTTATGTGCGATATGCGCTGCGTCCTGCGTCGCAGTTTACGTACCGGACAATATGCGGACGTCGCAGGGGCCATGGCGCCTCACGGTGGAGGGGAGGGAGCAGACAAACTCGCAAACACTGAATCGTTTGCTGTGATACACTCGGGGCGCGTTCCGAAAGGCGAGCCTTTGCGTCCGCTTTTGTGCCCCATCTCGCTCGGCGGGCGGTGAGCCCCTGCAGCGCGGGCGGGCGGGCCACCGGGCGGGCACGCCTGCTCGGCGGGGCCGCGTACCCGGCCACCGTCAGGCGCCCAGCCAGCCAGCCCGCCCCGCCCCCGCCTCCGCCTTGCCTTGCCTCGCCAGCCTCGCCTCGCCGCCGCCACGGACTGACCGCCTCTCTCTCGTGTTGCAGGAGTCTACCAACCGGCAGGACCGCTGATCTCCGCCGCCGCCGCGGCCGCCGCCCATGGCTCCGGGGCGCCGCTGCTGCCGCCGCTGGTGACGCCCCCCAAGGGCGCCGCCGCCGCCCCCTCGCCCACCCCCCGGGACCCGCAGGCGCCCGCCCCAGAGCTTGAGGCTGGCGCCGACGGCAACCCCGTGGCCGCGGGTGCCAACTCGTCGTCGTCCAACGTAGCGACGTCGTCGTCGGGCGCGTCGGCGAGCATGCCGCCGCCCCCGCACGCCTACCGCTACCCCGCTCACGGGGCCTACCCGCAGCCCTACTACAGCCCGTACCCCTACTGCGGGCCTGCGGCCTCCGTGGGCCCCGTGGCTCCGGTGGGGCCCCAGTACCAGGACTGCTACCCCAGCTACTACCACCGCGCCATGCACTACCGCCGCCACTACAGCTACCTGGCGCCGCACGCGGGGCCCCAAGACCCCTACGCCACGGGCGCGTCCGCCCTGGCCGTGCCGCCGCCGGCGGGCGCCGTCCACCAGATGCAGATGGTCGTCTCGAGCGGGCCGCCGCCCGTCCCCGGGCCCCCGCCCTCGCATCCGCCCCCGCCGCTGGACTACCCGGTGGAGCCCTACGTGCACTACCCGACGTACCCAGGCCCAGGTCAGCACTGCGCGCCCGCGTGCGCCCCGCCCCCCTCCGCCGTGCACTTCCTGGTCGTGGCCGCGCGCGAGGCCCTCGCGTCCCAACACCACCACTACCACCACTACCACCACTACCATCCCGCCCCCGCACCCGCTCACCACTACGAGCCCAGAGCCCCATAAGACGGGCCCGGCTCCCTCCCCCTTCTCCCTTGTGGCTTATTTTCTACTGCCCTCTCTCTTTCCCCGTCCCTTTTTCCTCTTCTATATCTCTAGACTGTCGCGTGTCTTTCACTTTGTGTTTCTAACTTAGAAAGGGAATATTATTGAAAAGCCTTTGTCTTCCTTCGGAGGGACTTGTTCAACTTGTTTTGGATACTTCTCCAAAGTGGATCATGTTTTTTGAAAAAGGAAAAAGAAAGCTCTCCGATTGTTTGGCAGTTTTTCAATTATCTTCTTTACACATAGAAATTAGAAACGCTACATACACTGATTATTTTTTATTTTTTCTTAGTCTCTGGGATAGCCGATCCCTAATATCCGCCTTCTTTTTTCGTTTGTTACAGAGACAGCGACGTTTAGGTGCCCTTGCCCAATGCAATCGTGTCCAAAAAACGTCCATACTGGCCCACTTACTGGTGACAGTAAGGGGCCCAAGCAAATGCAACCTCTCGCGCTGCCGCTGCCGCCCGTGGCCCTCGCGCTGCCCCAAGAGCCGCCGACCCTGCCGCCGGGCATCCTGGGGCCGCCCTCGCCCGCCAGGGGCTCCGCCGGCATGCCGCCCCCGCCGTCCCCCGCCGTGGGGGCGACGCACGCGCCCACGCAGTACCAGACCTGGGACAACATGGAGGGCTCTAAGAGCGTGGTGAAGCAGGACCCCGGCACCCCCCCAGAGGCGCCCGCCGAGCCCCCCGCGCTGGTGCTCGCCACCAGGCACAACCTGTGCCGCCAGAACGTCCCTCCCCCCGCCAACCCCCCTGCCTCGTGCGTCCCCGCCCATCTCACTCCGCGGCGGAAGCGCGCCGCCAGCCCCGGCCGGCCGTTGGCGGACCTGGGTGACGCCGTCAAAGTCGAGGACGCCAAGGACGCCAAGGAGCTGATGGTGGCCAAGGCCGCGCAGAACGGCCTCAAGGATCTCAAGGACATAAAGGACGTGAAGAGCGTGTCCGTGCTGAGCTTTACCACCACCATCACCACTACCACCATCGAGGAGTCGACGCAGACGACGCCTCCCCCGGAGGCGCGGGCGCCCGGGCCCGCTCCGCCGCAGAGCTCTTGCCAGCCCGCTGACAAGCGCCCCGGCGGGCAAGAGGCTGACGCGCCGCCCAGTAAAAAGAACAAAAAACTCCAAAGAAAACAGTTGGCGCGCATGTCAGTGTGGCCGAGCAAGTCCAAGAGCAAGAAGATGATCGAGATGCCCCTCTCAGAGGGGCTGCGTCCGGGCCACGGCCTCACGACCACTGTCGCAGCCCTCACCACCGCGACGACTCCTCCTAAGCCGAAGACCACCTCAAGCAAGAACAACCGCAAGACCACCTCCACGACGTCGAGCACAACAGTCACGACCGCCGTGGCCTCCACCAGCAGCACGTCCCCTGTGACGGCCCCCAGCAGCACCAAGAAGGCTGCCGGAGGAAAGAAGGGCTCGGCGAAACGGACCTCTTCCGTTGACAGCAACAAGTCAACGGGCAGCAGCGGTGGCGGCAAGCGCTCCAAGTCGCGCGACAAGAACCAGGACGCGGCCGACGACAAGTCCCAGGACAAGGCGGACAGCAAACCGCAGTCGAGGGACAACAGCGCGGGCCGGAGCCGCAGCGAGTCGCGCAGCCGGCTGGTCGAGGAGGAGCAGGCCGCGGCCGCCGTGATCGCCGCCGCCGGGCTGCCCGAGGGCGTGCCGCTCAACCAGTGCCGGCGGCTGATCGCCGCGCAGAAGAAGCTCATCTCCAAGTGCCAGGCCAAGAAGGAGCGCGAGCAGGCCAGGCTGGCGCGGCAGGAGGCGGCCCGGGCCGCGCGCCTGGCTGCCCTCGTGAGCGCCGCCGAGGCCAAGAAGGCCGCGGTCCAGGCAGAGCTGGCGGCGCCCGCGGCCGGTGCGGACGCTGGGGGCGCCGCCCTCGACGCCGCCGGTGCTGCAGTCGCTGCGCGACTCTCGCCGGCGGCCGCCCCCGCCCCCGCCCACGCCACGCCCCGCCACGCCCCTCGACGCCGCCGGTGCTGCAGTCGCTGCGCGACTCTCGCCGGCGGCCGCCCCCGCCCCCGCCCACGCCCCGGCGCAGCACCACGGCAAGCACCACCACAACAACAACAACCTGATGGACCCCGCAGTGGACCGGGGCCGCGTGGAGGAGCTCGGCAGGCTGGCCGGCCTGGAGGTGCCCGCCAGCCTCACCGTCTCCCAGTCTGAGCTGCGGCTGCTCGAGTGCTGCGCCGAGCCTAAAACACCCAAGTGGTCAAACGGCTGGCAATGGCGGGGGCAGCCCTTCTTGCACAGAGTCTTTCTAAATGTGAGTTAATTGTAATGTTGTGCTACTTATTTCAAACAAACAAGTTCAACTTGAGGTTAGTGCTGTACTGACTTGAAATTTACTGGTCAATTTCCTGTTTCAGTGTGATGATCCACCGGTGCTGCGGAAGTGCTATCCTGCAATGCAACATGATGAAGGTGACAATATAACTCTTGGAGATACAATTCTCTTGAAGTCTGGGACCAGAAAAATTGACTTGCCATTTGTGGCACGAGTTATTCATCTCTGGGAGAACCCTGAGGATGGTTAGTACACTTTTGTATTTGTTATTATGAATTGATTGAATGATTTTATAATTTTATTTGTTTTCATCATATATGTTTTCATATGAAGGAATAAATTACATTTTCTTTCTCCTTGCAGGTGAAATGATGTTATCCTTAGTGTGGTTTTATAGGCCTGAGCATACTGAACAAGGTCGCAGACCTTGTGATCGTGATGATGAAATATTCTCTTCTCGTCATAAAGATTTTAATAGTGTAGCTTGTATTGAAGACAAGTGCTATGTTCTTACCTTCAATGAATACTGCAGGTATGTAATGGTATTTCAAGTGATGCACTTTCTTTAACTGTGATCTTTACACCCTTTCTTCTGATGCAGATATCGTAAGACCATTCGTCGCCTTGAGGAAGGCCTGTCACCTCCTTCTCTCGTCGTGCCAGGGCCAGAAGGAAAATATCCTAGACATCATCGACTACCTCCTGGACATGTTGCACCGGATATGGTATTCTTTTGTCGTAGGATTTATGATTTCCGACAGCGTCGGTTACAGAAAAACATTTGTTGAGAATAGTAAGATATCTCTCTCTATAAAATAAGATCTTTGCAAGTAGTGTTATCTATCTGAACTGTCACGTTCCCAGTGTAACGTTGAAACTGTTGTATTGTTTCAAACTAGATTTATTTTTTTCTCTGTTGGAATCAACATTTCTTTACAGCCTATTTGATCTATCTCCTGGTGAGTGTAATGAAGAAATCATTACTTGCAATGTCTTAGAATGTTTGTTGTTGTTTAATTTTTTGTTTTGTGATCATAATTTACTAGAAGGAGGGCCTCGCAGTTTGCTACTTACAATGTACTGCTGGGGAGGTCTGGTGTGATAGATTCAATCTGTTGTGTTTATCTGTTCTATATGTCTGTTAGTGTTCCTCTTGTAATGGTGGACTGAAGCATTGGTGCTCTGTATTGGTTCCCATGCCTTGTGTGATTGTTCTGTATTTGTTTTCCTTCTCTTGTTTTTTCCTTTTCCCTTTTTCTTTCTTTCAATTAAGGGAGTAAAAAAATCCTTCAGGACTGTGAATTTTGCTCCTTTTATCCTGTTGTAAATTATGCTATGTGTAATATGAGAAAAGGAGGTAGTATAGTTTTCTAATTCTTTAGAAAGATAACTATTTATGCAAAGATAATTTTTTAATTTGATGATAGGGTATGAACAATTAAGATATTCCAAGTGTTTTCCTTAGAACCCAGTCTGATATAATGGTAATAGATTCTGTGTGTTTGGTAGATGTGCATTTATGTGTAATCTGCTGCTAAGTGTGTCCCTAGATATGATTCTTTTTTTTTTTTTTTTTCTTTTTTAATATCTGTTATGTTCTCTTGATGATATTTGTTGAGAAATGTTGATATCTTTTTCACAATTTTCATAATCTGCTAGATTTTTACCCTTTTGCTTGACAACTGAAAAGATAAAGAAACATCTCTGATGGTTAAAGAGAAATGACAGGTATTTCAATTTACTGCTCCAAGTCAAAGCATTACCGTTCTGTAGATTGATCTGGTGGGAATAATTTTGTTTTCTGATGTTGATTTATGTTTATCCAATGATTAGTCATATTTATTTTTTATTCTTAATGACAAGTTGTTTCTCTCAATACATTTCACTAAGTGTTAATGTATGTGTTGTATATAAATCCACTTCAACCATACCTGTGTTTTGAAATAAAATCCTTGTATAGTGGTAATTTACATGGTGTATCCCACACTTGTATCTTGCCTGCAATTTATCCTTATTTCTGACTTGCTTTTTTTTTTAATTTGGAATTATTATTACCAAATAGGTCCTGTAATAAATGCCTCATTTATTTATTTATTTTTTGCTTCATTCGGGCTGTTGAGACATATCGTGAGGCAAAGGTCAGTAAACTCAGCAAATATATTACAGGCTTTAGTCTAGAACTGTGATGAAGCTTCTATAACTGGAAGGTTCCAGCTTTGTTTTGTTATTTTAATATGTATTGAACATTCCATTTGTATGTCTTAAAAAGTATCATATGGATTTGCAGAAAAAATGTCACTTTTTTCTTACATGTTATGTGTAAGGCTCAGAGACCAAAGATAAATAGTTATAATGTATTGGAAGTGACCTCTCAGCTGTATACCCACTGTTAATGTGGCAAAGAGTAACAAGCTCACACTCTTTCCTAGAGTGAGCATTGTGTTTATTAAAAACTAGCCATTAGACAAATGTATGGTTCAAAATATTCTCTGTTGTATTTCAAATCTTTCATGCCACAGCAAGTATAAATGTTGCAAGCATAGTGAATGGAAGCTGAATACAATATTATGATTGCTGTGAAACAAGAATTCATAATTTAAGAGAATGGTCTAGTAGGTGTGATAAAAGACCACCAATAACGGGTTGGCTATATTTTATTACAGTTGAAAAGTAACAGAAAAATCATGTTCACATATCTTCTTTTGTTACTTTCAAATAGGAAAATTTCCTCTTTCTTTTCCTTCTATTGGGACCTTTAAACTCATAATATTTGAGACATTTGGAGTTAGATTGCAGTTTGGAAAGTATTTGACATCTGTCATAGTACAAAAGTTAGGCTTACTGAATTATGTTTCTTAAATTTCTTTTTAGCTAAAAAGTAAATGACCAAGAAATGTTGCTTTGGGATTAAACTTCTCCTTTACATTCGTTTTTCTAAAATTATGCTCCCATTTAGGCTAAAGTATTATTTGTGGGAGGTGACCATCTGAAAGAGCACCACATAACTTTCAATTATTGTATCGTGTACAAAATACAAAGGTTTTGATTGTTCTCAGACTTGTTTGAATTTTAATTCATATCTATGTGTGACTTGTAGCTGTACCCTAGGAAATGTTGCTGTTTTCCTGTAACCTGCTATCTCCAATACGTGTCTTATAGTTCTTTATCCATGCTTTAAATGTGTTAGTCAAGTTCAAATTTGCCAGGCGTTAATATTGGTTTACTTCACCAGTGAGTTCAGGTACAAGCTGAAAGTAATGGTGCAGCTAAGAGTCTTGTCCATGTACTTGATCCTAATTTTTAACCTGCATGTTTAAGATATACATTTATGAGAGCATTTAAGTGTTAAAATATATGTATATTTGCGCATGTAGGGCTGAAACATTACAATAATGTCCCTATTAATGTCATTTCATAATAGACATAGTCTTATTTAAAAAATAGATTAAGCTTGTGTGTTTATTGGGAGAGAAATTGGTGAGTTTTGGCTTACAAGATATTACATGTGTTTAATATGTAAATTTTATTGCTTCCCTTGTTATCTTTGCCATTCATAAAGGCTTCTGCCTGTGCAGATATGGCAGAACAGAAAAGCTGTTGCATTTAGCACACTATGGTGATTATCAGATGCATTAAGATTGTCTTGTGCGTGTCTCTAAAAGATTGCTTCAGTGGTATACTTGACTCTTATTGCCCCTTTCTTATTAAAGTTGCTAGATTTTGAACAGTATAAGCCAAGATTTTCAATCTCAGATTGAGATTGTCTCACATGTGTGGGAATTTCTAATTTCTTTTTGTTTCTACATAAACTTCTTGCTTTCATATTAGTTTCAAGTGGCATAGCCATTCAAAGTCCATTCCCATTTATGCCAAAACAAATGTTCTGTTCTAATGTGAAAAATGTCTTTTCAGTGTAATCTAGGTACATAGTTTATCTTTGTTTGCTGGATAGGCTCTTCAAGCTGGAAGATATTTTGTTTAATCTATTGTGACAAAATTATTTGTTGCTGGGTATGAGACCAAGCACTGTTTGTTCATGTTTCTTTCTCTTTTTTATGGTGAAATGACCTGTATTTATTTCATAATTAATTGTTTTGTTTCAATCTCTGTTTGAAGTTTGTGAGCTATAAATACTTCTCAGTTTTAAAAGGTTCATTTTTTAAAACACAAACGAAACCAAACAGCAAAAGTGGAAATAAATGACTATTTTTCACTGAACAGCCTAAATTGTGGAACAGCATCATTGGCTACACTAAATTTTATGAAATTGTTTTGGGACCAAAATTAACCAATTGATTGGATGCTGTGCACTATGGAACTGAAATATCTTCAAATTCCAAATTTGTGTTTATGAATGCTATTCGTTATTTAAGCATCTATTCTTCTGATTTACAAAACTAGAAAATGTATGAGTCAAGTAAGCCAAGAAAAGGATGACTGTTTGCTGGGTGTGTGGAAAGATTATAATCACTGAGTGACAGTGAATAGGTATTGTTAGCGCTTATTAAACAGCATTTTCCCATAGGTGCCTTTGCATGCTGATCGTGAATTGTTTATTATTTACATTTTGTCTGATAAATGTATATTTCAGTGATATATTATTTGTTGTGTGCATGTAGAATACGAAAGAATATCCCTAATGATTATGTTTTCCTCATTATAAAAAAAATGAAAGTATTAAAATTGAAGCATTTTGTAAAATGTTTTTTTTTACATCCTTAACCATCGATTACCCGGGTACCTTCTGAAGGCAACTCTATTCTGGTGCAGATGTTCCAACTTGAAACTTCTCATACTTAAAAAGTTCTTTGAAAAAATATGGGAAAAAAAAGGAATTTTCTCTGTTTTCACTCAACATCCTTAATTGAGGAACAGCGTCACCATCTTCACTAAATTTAATGAAATTCATTTGGTACCGAAATAAAATAAATTGATTGGGTGCTCTGCGCTGTGGCCCATGCACCTACTATCCGACGACGTCAGAGCTGCGTCCAGACAAGAGGGTTGCTTGGGTCGCTTGGGTCTCTGAGCCGGCGCAGAAGCCACGTTTTGGTTTTCTGCGCAGACCTCAGAGACCCCACAGCGACCCAAACAACCCAAGCGACCCAAGCGACCCAAGCGACCCTCTTGTCTGGACGCAGCTCAGATCAGCAGGGCTCGCCCGCCAGTAATCCCAAACTTTATATATGGGGTGTCCAGCAGCTGTGCGTCAAGGGGCCTGACTCCCGAACCTGAGCAGAGCTGCTGCAGAACATGGAATGACCAATTTGATTCCAACGTTTCGAAACTGCAAAGTTCAGCCAACGCAAGCTCTCTTAGCGCCTGGTAGGTATGCAAACATCATGCCTGCAGCGCATGCGTGTACTGCGGGATGGCCGGCGGGTGTATTTAAATTGTCCGACCTATTTTTCTCCGACCTGGCGATTTTTCCAAAATCCCCAAAAGTGCTGTCCGACCTAGGTTTTGTTCGACCTAATTTTTTCCGACCTCATCAA